CTCCTGGGCAGTGTCACCGTGTGTGCCACGCCGTCCATCTGCATGGGAAACTGAGAAGAGGGGCTGCGTGAGGAGCGTGGTCTGTGGCCCTGTGCCCCGTCTGGACCGAGAGCTGCTGCAGCTGGGCTCCCCTGGCAGCCCCGGCCCCAGGGCCCAGCAAAAAGCATTCAAGGAGCATCGGGAGAGCACAACACCCACCTGCTGCAGCCTGCAGCTTAGAGGGGGGATCAAACCTGTGACTCTTCTGCTGCTGAATATATGCCAAGGTTATTTCTTGCTTCTGGTGCTATCTGGAAGTGGAGGGAAAACAGAAGGTTCGTCTGAACAGAAGACCCAGGACATAATGGAGCACGCTCAGTGGCCGCACTCTCACTGTGGTTTTTCAGGATACTGGTTTCCAGTCCTGCAGCTACAAGCCACACGTTAAGATGATAATTTGGTGCGTTAATGAGCAGTGCTGCCTAAGGATACCATCAGCTCCTCATGAAACACCATCGTGCCTCCAAGCTTGGGCCCCAGAACAAATCACTTTTGGAGAGCTGCTGGAAGCTGCGAAGGAGGTGATGGGTGCTGGCACCAGGGAGAAGCACATCTTCAAATAACCACTAGAGGGCACAGACAAAGCACCCAACACCAGCCAACCCCGTTCAACACCTCCCCAGGTAAGGCCCAGCCAGCCCCTGCAGATCCACCATGTCCCACATTCCTCAGGGTAACTCATGCACAAGGCTAGAAATCAAAGGGATCCTCTTTACATTCTAATTTTTGCAACCTCCAAACTAATTATGGTTTTGGCTGCAAATTGTACCCTTGTGAAGACGCTCAAGGCTGATGGGAAGATGTGTGGGTGTGCAGCAGGGTTCTGGAGGCCAGTGGTTGCTGCCCTGCATAGCCAACAGGCCAGCGCTTTGTGACTGGGATTTGCCATCCCGAGAAGCACAGGAGCAGCAGAACTATCAGCTCCAACAGCAACATCATGCTTTTGTGAAACAGTCAGAGAGGAGGAGTATCGAGAATTTTTAAGGGACCAAGGTAATTTTGCCAACGTCACGTCAAGCGTATGTGAAGTATTTGGGGTGAAATCCTCTATCTTTAGCCTGCCTCAATACTTTGCTGTCCACTTGAACCAGTCAGGCTGGAATCGATGTCCTCACCAGCAGCAATCCAGGCACCTGACAAACACAAGGGATTGCACTGGAGTGTCTGCTCCATGTGTTCTTGCCATCCTTCACATAGATTAAAGCCCTATGAAAACCAAACGGTTGATCTGGGTGATGACAAAGCTACATGGCTCTCACAAGGTACGTTTGTTTGGGGCAGAAAAAGAACAAATGGTTGCCAACACATGCCTGCAAGAATGTACACAAAAAGGGAACAAGTAAAGACAGTTTCTAACAGAAATGTCCAAGAAGACTGACAGGCACAACCTGTGAATTGTCACAGGGCTTTTCAAACCCCTCATCTTATCACTGACCACTGATGGCATTTGTTTTCCCTGAGAGAAATCTGAAAGGCTTCAGTGAAAGAAGACAGGTGAAGATCCAATGGATGCAATGCACAATTTTATTTGTTTAAAGCAGAACACGAGCAAACCAGCGTTAGAACTAGGCACATCTTTTCAAAATAAAGCACTTGATGCTCCTTCAGCTGTGACGCTGCCAACCCCGGCAAGGAGAAGGGAGCCAAGAGGCTCCTGCATCGGGGTAGGACCCTCTGGGAGTCACCTGGCTGAGGAACAGCAACTCAGACGAACTGGGCACTTCACTTTCTTTTGTCTTAATTTTCCAGGGTGAACAAGCACCGAATCATAACTGAGGGCTCCGTACCTTGCTGAGGGCCCCGGTACGAGACGGTGACAGCTCACAGGCTGGAAGGTCACAGCAGGTTCCAACACCCACCCATGGCAGAGCCAGGACGTGGTGGGTACACAGGTACCCGCCAGGAGGCACTGCATGTTCTGCACACCTCAGCATCTGACAACCACCCCAGGCTCTGCCCTGAGAACCATGACCCAGCACCACTTTTCACAGAAAACAACACTGAAAATGGGTCGTCTGTCCTTCACTGGTCTGCCTGAACCAAACCCTCACAACAACCCAGAGCTGCTACAGCTCAGCAATCTAGCCTCCAGCAATGAACCCTAAGCCCAGCTACCCTGCATTTTCTGTTAATGGCTGCACTATGGAAGAGATAAAAGGAGGGACTCTTTCACGTGGCACCTAGGCCATGATTTCGGAGGTGGAGTCTCCAGAAGGGAAGTGGATGTCATGGGCAAGGCAAGGCCCATGGGGTTCCTTTCCAAAATCCACCAGGAAGTTCTTGTTCACTGTCAGGCCTCCCTTCTCCGTGTCCACATCAATCTGCAGCATGACAGAGCCTTCCCTGCAAGGGGACAAGAGTGTGGCTGTTACAGCCAACAAACTGTGGTCTTCTTCAGGAGATCCTGCCCTTCATCCTTCTGGTCCATATCAAGGCAGAGCCTTCTTCCTCAACAGCTTCTCTCCCACAGGGAGTAGGCACTGTCACCTTCCCCATCTCCAGTGCAGAGGCCATCCAAAAAAGCCTTCCCAAAGTTTCTTACCTGACCAGGTTCGGGTAGAACTGCTTGTCCCAGGTGCTGTAGAAGGAGTTGGTGACGTACAGCCTCTTGCCATCCAGGCTGAGCTGCATTTTGCAGGGTCCACCGTAGATCCTCTTGCACTGGAGGCACAACGGACATCAGGGATGCTCCTGTCCTGGAGCAGCCCAGCACAAGCAGGAACAGAGCAGGGCAGAGTGGCTGCCTCTCCTCCCAAGCTACCAGGTGCTGCAGGCACACGGGCCCCTCAGACGACACCCACCCCAGACACCCTGGGCAGAGGATTGGCAGAGCAGAGCCAAAGTCCACAGGACACCAGAGGGCAACTCAGAGCTCACCTTGACCACCAGGGGCTCTGGCTGGCACTTGAGCTCTTCGTCTCTACACACAGTCACGGGTCCACCTCTGAGGATGCATGGCAGTTGTCTTCTCCTCCAGCCACCAGCAGATCCAGGAGCTCAGGAAGCTCCTGGGAAGCCCTTCTGCTCCCACCTTACCTGTCCCACCAGCCTGGGCTTGCAGTTCTTGGAGATCTCATACTGGCGGATGTCTCCGTGCAGCCAGTTGCTGACATACAGGTACTTGTCATCCATCGAGATGACGAGGTCAACTGTGAAGGCTGAAGGGCAGAGAAACAAAGCTCCAGAGAAGGCAGCAGCAACAGAAAACATGCCCAGCCTCAAGCCACCCAACTCGACGCTCCGGGAGGAAAAATGAAACCCAATTTTGGGCACACCAACCTGGCATCTTGCACATAATCCATCCTGACACTTCCTTGGCTGGTATCCGGATCACCTCCTCGACTGCCCAGTTGTCCCTCTGCACAAGGAACAGGGGCACCACGGGGTGAGTGACCCTGGCTGCTCAGGCAAGAACTCTCCATGCACCTCCCCCCTTCTCTCCGCCACCCCCAATTTCTTCTGGGGGTGTCTCCAGCCCTCTGTGGCTCATGGTGGCCAGGTCACCCCTGGCAGAGACTTGCCTCGCACTTGTAGAAGCGGTAGATGATGCCACTGAGGGCGCAGCTGACGTAGCCCTCAGCAGCATCAGGGTTGTGCAGAAACTTCACGCTCAGGGGCAGGGAGTCCTCCCCCAGGTCAAAGCACTGGGTGAGGGTCCGGCAGGACAAGTTCCACACGTTCAGGCGGTGCCCAAAGACCCCTGAGGAAAACTGAGTCAGGAGAGGATGGCCACCCATGGACACGAATCCCTCCCGGAATGTTCCCAGATGGGGACAGCCACGGCAGAGACAAGCCCTGATCATCAGAGAAGCTGCCAAGATTGAGGGAGCAGCAGGAGAAGATGGGGACCAGCTTAACTTGGGGACAGATGCTCCTCCTGTAGCTGTGCCTGTAAAATGGGCCATTCTGGGGAAACCAGCCTGTCCCCTCTCTCTGTGGGCGTTGACACCCTCCCACTGCCTCAGTGAGCTCAGGCTCAGGACCTGCAGCCATATTCTCTCACCTTTCTTCAGGTCGTCGGGATTAAATCCACGTCCCGCAATTCTGGGGACAAAGCCAGCAGAGCTGACCAGGACGTTGTGGCGCGGCTGGTACCAGAAGTCACACCCGGTCGGGGGGGCCTCACACTCGTGTTCCCAGTTCCCCTTCAGCTCAAGGCCCTCAACCACAAAGGTCTGTCCATCCAGCACGATAAACCCGCCTGTGATCCAAAAGGGGGTGGATGACAAATCACACACTCCTCCTCCAGACCAGTTCATCTGTCTATGGAGTTGTCACAGGAAATGTACCTTTCCCATTGCCAGCTGGATCTCCCATGTTGGCGATCAAGATGTCCCCGTTGGGCAGGCTGCGGACTACAGCCAGGTAGCCCTTGTTGCACTTCCAGAAGACATCCACGGGCTCGATCATCTGGGAAAAAGCCACACACACATCAGCCTGGGCCTGCTCGGCTCATTTGACACTCCCTGTCAGAGCTTTCGGCCACCAGAGTCTCCTGAAAACCTCTGACACTTGTGGGAGCCTTCTGTCCAAGAACTCACCCTTGCCAGGGCCTGTTCCTCCTTTCAGAGTAGCCCAGAAGCCTCTGAGCTCCCCTCTACACAGACAAGACCAAAGCAACACCTAAGTCAGGACCGCTCATCTCTCTGTGGCATGCTTTGCAGTTATTAGACACCCTCCAAACGCAACAGGCCCACAGAAAGGAACACAACAATGATTGGAGTCTTCCTTGCTCTGACAAGGAGAGAGTTGAGAGGGCATTGTGACCCAGCTCTCTAAAATCAGGGTGGAAGAGAAGATGCAGAGAGAGCCCTCTTCCCTGGGTATTATTCCAGAAGCACCAGTTCCCAACTCCTTCCCAGAAACCTGTCTTTGAACCTTCTCCCTCATACCTTACACAGCTTGGGAGCCCGGCACTGGGAACCCACATCCACCACGTAGATGCGGGAGGAAATCAAACCGGGCAGAATCAGCTTGTTCCTTTTCGCTGGGACATTGTCCAAGCAGCTGCAGCCAGCACTCCACCCCGAGGAATGCAGCTCGTCTTTGAGGTTGGGCATGGGCAGGCGGTGGATCACCTAGGCAGGCAGTCAAGGCAGAGTTAGGGTGGGCACGGGGAGGCAGCGAGACATGGGGGGCCCTAGTGCTGGCAGATGCTTCCATCTTGATGGCCTCCATTGGACTGGAGCTGGGACTGCCTCCAGGAGGAGAAAACTGCTCTCTGTCCGGGTACAGTGTGCTGATGAGAAATGCAGAGATTCTTTCAAGAATTCCTCACCCCATGCCACTAAAACTCAGAAAATCATGTATATGAAGAAATTATTATGTTGACAAAAATGGTGCGTTGCTCTGCAAGCTCCTCCTAGGAATGGAGTTCAAAATGTGTTAAAAGTAAATCCTGTATGAGCTTGAAAGTATGTTTTCTTCAAAGCTCTTGCAGTACCGGACTCACCAGGTCATACATCCACCCTTGATGTGTTTAACCCATCTGCAGCCTTCAGGAACTGGCACAGGCCGACCTCCCACTGAGGGCGGCAGCTGACAGGCTGGTTCAGAACTCCTCTGACATCATCACACAGCAGAGACCAGCTGACCTCCGCAAAGTGCTGGACACCCTAAACCCCTGGGTCACCAGAACCCACTGTCCATGCTGAGCAACCACTGACAGGGTGACTCGGAGCACATGCTCCAAAGCTCACTTGCGGCACCAAGATTCTCTGGAAGTGAGTTGGGAAGTGAGTCAGAGCTGACTTGTCCCCAGGACACAGATGGAGGTGGTTCAACTTGAGCCAAGCACACAGGGGACAGTGGAAAGAGAGCAGGAAGGTGAGATTCTGCACAGACAACATCTCTACCTCGCACATAACACCAGTGGAGAATCCAGAACCTGCCACGACAAAACTCCCAAGGGGTTTCCCAGAGGAGTCCTGGCAGGACATGGCCAGGCAGCAGGGACAAGAGTTAAGCCAGGGTGGATAGGACAGGAAGATGAAGGAAGACAAGAAGGAGCACGTATGGGGTCTCGCCAAGCTGATTTTCCCACAGCAGCCTCCTGGTGCAGGGCTCCTGTGCTGGGAGTCAGCAGGGTGTTGGGAACACCCCTGTTGTGAGCGCCACTGAGCAGAGCTCGCACAGCACCAAGGCTCTTCCTAACACTCCCCCACAGTGGGATTTGGGGGCAGGAGCTTATGGGGAACAGAACCAGGACAGCTGACCCGAACTGACCACAAGGATATTCCAGAGCATATGACCTCAGCTCAGCTAGAGAGCTGGTACAAAGGAGAAGGAGGAGGGAGGGTGAGGGGGGTGCTACTCCTTGGTCCTCCAGAGCAACCGCTGTGTGTTTTGAAGCCCTGCTTCCCAGGAAAGGCCAGACATCGCCTGGGGATGGGAAGCAGAGAATAAATCTTAAGTTTTCTTTTCACTTCTGCATGCAGCATTGCTTGGCTTTGCTTTCCAATTAAACTGCCTTTGTTTTTACCCACAAGGGGTTTTGTCCCCATCTTATTTTCCTTTCCCCTTTTGCTCTGTGGAGGAGGGAGAGGAAAGGAGAAGGGTTATAGAGTGGCTTGGTGGGCATCACTTCCTCAGCCAGGGTTAACCCACCACAGAGCAAGACAACCAGAGAGCTGGCATGGAGAGCAGGCATCAAGCAATCCCATTTTCCCCAGCATGAGAAAGCAAATGTCCTGAATCTGGGGGCACTACGAGGCAAAGAGCCAACAGATAGTCACCAGCCCAGCAAAAAAAAACAGTGGAGACACAGGTACCTGGCCATAACATGGAGATCTGGGATTGAGATCGATGGTGGCCAGGAAGTCAGGCTGGTCGATGCATGTTGACCTGTAGGTGCAGGTCACGTAGGCAACCTCCTCCCTAGGAGCTGGATCAACAGAAAGCTGGTGTTAAAACAGGCCATGAACCAGACAGGAAGGAAAAGCTTCAACAGACTCGCAGCTGAGACTGAACTTATTCTTTTAGATACTATGACCTTCCTCCTTGCTCCCTGGCAACAGTTCAACCCTGTTCCACCGCTGACCCAGAGGTAAGAGAACAACAACAGTGCATCTCCATAGAGTTTCAGGTCTCCTTCTCCCTCTAGGGGAAGGGCCTCAGCACACACAGTTCAGTAACAGTGGTCTCCACTAACACAGAGCTCAAACACCACAACTTGCCTTTCACAGTGTCTGGGCAGGTGGGGTACTCGTAGCACTGAGTTCTGCATCTGTCTGATGTGAGAAGAAGAGAAGAGAAAAATGAAAAACATCCACATCCTTAAAAGGTGCCTATTCAGAAAACTCTGATGGACCTTCTCAACACAACAAAAAAGTTGAGTCCCACCATTCTCCTCCCTGCATTGCTGCCAAGGAACCAACCTACCAGTCCTCACTGGGTCTCAAGGTGGGATGTCTGCAGCTCCCAGGCAGTGTGGCCAGAGCTGGACCCAGGATGGAGCTCCCAGGCTTGGAGCTGCTGTGGGGAGGCTGCAGAGTCTCTCTTACCCATAATGAAGGCTTCTGGTTGACTCTCCTCAAGAGCAGAGGTGCTGGAGCTGGAGGTGCAGCTTTGCTGTCTGCCACGCTGGAGAAGGTTGTGTTGTGCTGAGGCTGCTCCAAGGGGGCCTTATATACAAGCCAGAAGGGTGGGGGGACAACGAAGCTGCCAAGGGAGGAGCCATCTCTGCCCAGCATTTGGGAGGTGCCAGACCAGCACTGTAGCTTGTTTCTGCCTTGCTAACCACCAATCTGGAGGAAAAATCTGCTGGGCCATGCAGGTCTTTTCCTTAAACACGACCTCCCATATCTGATCCTGGGGCTGTGGCCATTTCCAGTGGACTTCTTCAGGCTCTGGAGGCCTCCATCTCCCAGCCCAGACACAAGCTAATTAAAGCCAACCCCCATCCCCATGTTCCTGCCATACAAAAGTGCAATGGCTGCAAATTCCACACAGGGGATGAGAAACCCAGTCAGATAATCAGCCCCACCAGCAGCCTCCTGCAGATTACAAGGCTTGAACATACGGAGGCCACCAAAGGCACCTCTGAAACCTGGACCCTGACAGAAGGCACGTCTCTGTCTGAGGGCTGAGCTGAAGGCATCACGGGCTCCCTGGGGTCAGCTCAAACAGCACGTCCCAGAGGTGTCTGTACCCAGAAAGAAGCGTTTCAGAGCTCTAAGGACTGCGAACTGGGAAACAACTTCCCCCACCTTGCTGAAGCAGAATGATGCTTGGAAAAACTAGTAACAGAGATGTATTCATGTCCACCTGCTTGGACAAACTGCAGCTCAGGGCAGGACATGACCAGTCTTCTTGAGGGCTGCAGCCAAGGGCTACCTCCTCACCTTGCCCCATGGCATGCGCCAACTCCACAAAGTGCCTGGCACCAGCATGGTTGAAACGGGACTAGACTGCCACAAACCCCCCCACAGGAACAAAAGAGGTCTCTGTTAAAGGGCCTGAAGTATTAGAGAAAAGCAGAGAAGCATTTTGGGAAAAGCGTCCTCTCTTGAGGTCACCATGAGCCTGGCTGCCACCAGCTGCTAAGCTAAAGCAGGAAGAAAACACCAAGCACCACAGAACATGAATGAGCATCACTATATCTTGTGGAAGAACTCCTCAATCAGAGGGCACATTCCACAGGATAAGTAATTGCTCCACACAGGAATGTAGAAACATCTGACAGCACCATTAAGGAAGCCCTTGGGAGACCTCCATCAGGACAAACAGCCAGGCTCATCAGGGCTGTAATTAATGGCTCTCTTGTTCCAGAACAGCACTTCAAACATGAGGCAGGTGGATATGGGTGCAGCCTGGCACTGGGCACCAGTGCCCAGCTCTAAGCAGTTTCTGAAATCCTTCGTGTCCTACTCAGAGGCAGGTGGGCCCAGGCTGCCAAGTGCTTTGTTTCAGGCAGTAGAAATGCAAGAAAATGGGGGTTTATACAGGCTTGTTCTCACTCCTTCACAAGGAATGCAACTGCCCTTCTTTCTCCAAACAAACACAAAGGAGGAGTTCAGGCTTTGTGCCTGACCTGCTGCTGGCCTCATTCACCTGGTGGGCAGGAGCACAACCAGGCTCAAGGGCACACAAGAAGCTCCTGCTTCACTGGGGGCAATTGCAGGTGGTCGACTGATGCCTCTTTGCTGGCTTCTGCTGATACAACATGCAGGTCTCCCTGCACCTTCTCCTGGCACCTCCACACCTGCCAATTAAAAAGTTCATTAGCCTTCCACTCATTAACAAAGTTTGCTGGTCATCCTATTCGGCTTCCCTCGGTGACGTCTTTGGCATCCCTCACCAAATCGAGCTGTGGGGTGCTGAGTTTTCTAATTAAGCTGATAGCAGGAAGGATAAGAGCCAGCTCAGCAGCACCAACCAGCCAGCCAGCGATGGGCAGCAGAGAACTCCAGCAGCGTGGGCTGCCCACAGCCCACAAACAGCTCCCTGTGGCCAGCAGAGACGGGAAGCCGTGGCATGGGACAGCAATCAGGGGCTTCAAGGGACAGCCCACACCGAGGTAGTAACTGCTCCCCTCCTTCCAACCATCTCTTCCAGGCCTGATAGGGAAGAATATGCTGTAATGTGGATAATGGGCAAGCCAGGTGATGCAACCCAGTGCAGAGTGGCACACCACACTCAGAGTGCTGGGAGAAGGCCTCGCTTCCCCCAGGACACTGGGTCTGCCCTAAACATCCAGCAAGAACTCCCCCAACTACAGGAGCCATCTCCAACCTCCCCTCAGATCTCCGGGGGGGGACATTCACCTCCCACTCACCCTTCGTAAAACCCTGGAAGTGCCCCAGGGTGTCTGAGTGTTGCTCATCATCTGATCCCTTCTCCTGTGCTTGGTCCTGGCCTCCACACTCTGTACAGCCACTGTCACGTTCAGACAGGTCAGCAAGGCACTCAGCACCACGAGAGCTGGGACAGACTGTGGTCAGCACCACTGCCCCAGCAAAAACTGCCAGCAGAGCAACATTGTCCTGGACCTCCCGGGGCTCCACGTCTCCCAAGAGTTTCACTCTGTTCCATCCTATTCCCTTGCTCAGGAGCAGAAGGAAAACCATAGCATGCAACTCTGGAAGTTGTTGAGAAACAAGAGCTTTGCAAGTTCATGGTGCAGGCAAACACAGATGAAAATCAGCCGAGGTCCCCTCCTGCCAGGGCAGAGGGGAGAGCAGAAAGGGAGCAGGATGGTGAGGTTCCTGGCAGACAGCTTCTCACCGGCTGCAGCCAGAAGGCTGTGGCAAGTGTACAGCACATGGCACACTGGTGGTGGCAAGACACCAACAGCTCTGGGGGCAGCAGAGCAGAGCCCACCAAAGGCATGTGAGACAGAAGGACAGAGGGCTCAGAGCTGTAGCACCAGTGGTAACAAAACAGCCTGAAGGGCAGAGGCAGATGAAGACAAAAGGGAAAGGTTAAAAGCCGTCAGACTGTGTACAGCTCAGATCCACCACCTGGGATCTCTCCAGCACCTCACTGAGTGGAGACAAATCCAACATCCCAGGGCTACAGGACTCACATCAGGAACACATGGTGCCTTCAGCACCTTACTTCCAAAAACATTCCATGTGCAGAGTACAAGGTTTGCTGGAGGGTTAGGGACACTGGAATCACAGAATCAGTGAATGCTTTTAGATGGAAGAGACCTTCCAGCTCCTGGAGCCCAGCCATCCCCCCAGCACGGCCAGGTCCCCACTGCCCCATGTCCCCCACCCCACATCTCCACGGCTTGGGAACCCCTCCAGGGGTGGGGACTCCACCACTGCCCTGGGCAGCCTGGCACAGCCCTGGGCAACCCTCCAGGGCAAGAAATTGTTCCTCAGGGGCAACTGAAACCTCCCCTGGCGAAACTTGAGGCCAGTTCCTCTCATCCTGTCCCTTGTCCCTTGGGAGCAGAGCCCGACCCCCCCCTGGCTCCAGGCTCCTGTCAGGAGCTGTGCAGAGCCAGAAGGTCTCCCCTGAGCCTCCTTTGCTCCAGGCTCAGCACCCCCAACTCCCTCAGCTGCTCCTCCCCACTCTTGGGCTCTGGACCCTTCCCCAGCTTCATTGCCCTTCTCTGGCCACATTCCAGGCCCTCAAGATCCTTCTTGGAGTGAGGGTCCAAAAACTGAACCCAGGATTTGAGAGGAGGCCTCCCCACTGCTGTGTCCAGGGGGGAGATCCCTGCTCTGGTCCTGCTGGCCATGCCAGTTCTGACACAAAGCCTCACAATGACTATTTTGCTCCCTCAAGGCTCCACTCTGCCTTTTCCCACTGGGCCTTCCCCTCCAACCAAGGGGTTTGCTGTTGGAGCAGGAGTCCCAGGGGAGAGGGCACAAGGCCCTGGCCAGGAGCACAGTGGCAGCTCTGGGCTCACCCCTCCCCACTACAGCCCACAGCAACAACCAGACCTGCCCGCCCGAAAGCCACATCCTCAGGTTGTGATTTCAGGCAGTGTGTCATGAGCAGTGACCTGAGCAGCCACTCGAGGATGATGTCCCTGAGTCACCTTTTGGGCAGTGCTGGTTTTCTGCTGGATCAGCTCCTTCCACCGACTCCTCCCAGAACCACCCAGTCAGCCTCTGATGCCAGAGGAGTGGCAGCACCACACAGCTGGGGAGGGTGGAGGAGCAGGACCTGCTGGGGCTCCTCTTCCACTCCTCTGCCTAAAGACTGGCAGACCTGGAACCTGCAACCCAGGAAAACAGGAGCAGTTGACACTCCTCCCGTGACAGAGGTGGAAATGAAACAGGAACACATATGCCAAGCAGTTATCTAAACATTTCAGGTTCCCCTCCAAAGACTCACTGACACATCTCTGTATACAACAAGGCACTTCCCT